CCTGTGGTCCCAGCTACTTGGGAGGCGGAGGCAGGAGACTCGCTTGAGCCCAGGAGCTGGAGGTTGCTGTGAGCTGTAATGCCACGGTACTCTGCCCAGGGGGACAGCTTGAGGCTCTGTCTCAAAAAAAATAAAATAAAATAAAATAAAATAACAAAATTCCTATTTTTGTTATTACAAAATAGCAGTCAGAAAGATAAGAGTTACAAAAGTGTCCCCCAGCAAGTTGGAAGTTGAGATAATTCAATGCCCAAGAAGTAAATTAAATTCTCTGAGTAGCTATTAAAAGATACCAGTGATGGGGGCAGCGCCTGTGGCTCAGAGGAGTAAGCACTGGCCCCATATGCCAGAGGTGGCGGGTTCAAACCCAGCCCCGCCCCCAAACCCCCCCAAAAAAGATAACCAGTGATAGCCAGCACTGTGGCTCACACCTGTAATCCTAGCATTCTGGGAAGCTGAGGCGGGTGGATTCCTTGAGCTCATGAGTTAGAGACCAGACTGAACAAAATCAAGACCCTGTCTCTACTAAAAACAGAAAAACTGAGACAAGAGGATTGCTTAAGCCCAAGAGTTGGAGGTTGCTGTGAGCTATCATGCCGTGGCACTCTACCCAGGGCAACAACTTGAAACTCTGCCTCAAAAAAAAAAAAAATAGCAGTGACACAATCTGATATTGGGTATGGAAGCAGACATGAGCATGCTAAATAGGATTCCTGGCCCAAATGTTCTCTCTCTTAGCCTTTTATGATTCTCTTGCTCACTAGCTGCAAAGGACTATTTAAATCAGTGGTTCTCAACCTTCCTAATGCCGCGACCCTTTAATACAGTTCCTGTGGGTCTCAACCTGCAGGTTGAGAACTGCTGATTTAAATGAAGTCAGGAGAGCTAAGCATATTCAATCTCCAGCTGGTTCATTTGGTTTACCTACTGTCTTATTTTTCTTTTCTTTTCTTTTCTTTTTTTTTTTTGAGATAGAGTCTCATTTTGTTGCCCTTCTAGAATGCTATGCTGTCGCAGCTCACAGCAACCTCAAACTCTTGCCTTAGCCTCCCAAGTAGCTGGGACTACAGGTGCCTGCCATACCTGGCTATTTTTAGAGATGGGGTCTCACTCTTGCTGAGGGTGGTCTGGAACCCGTGAGCTCAGGCAATCTACCCACCTCTGCCTCCCAGAGTGCTAGGATTATAGGCATGAGACACCACGCCCAGCCCTCTACTGTCTTATTTTTCTAGGTGAAATAGGCCAATACTCTATCCTTAACAAACTTAGTTGGAAGTAAGGGTCTTGAAAAGGCAAGGAAGGAATGTTTGCCATATTCCATGCTAAGTATTTGTTTTTCTTTTCTTTCCAGGAAATATTCATATGTTTTCAAATGTGACAGATGATACTCGCTATTACCGCCGGCGGCACCGACATGAGAGGACGCAGACACGGAAGGAAGAGGAAGAAGATAAACCTCAGGTGTCTAAGGAGGAAAGGAGAGTTGCTGCTCATAAACAGTTGTAGTGAGGCTATCTTTATAGTGTATGATCAAGTTGTAGAAGTTAATCTGGAGATATGTTGTTAAAATGTGCTTTAGGAGGCTCGGCACCTATAACTCAGTGGCTACGGTGCCAGCCACATACACTGGGGGCTGATGGATTCTGAACCTGGCCAGAACTTGGCAAACTACAATAGCAACTATAAAAAAATAGCTGGGTGTTAAGGTGGACACCTATAGTCCCAGTTACTTGGGAGGCTGAGGCAAGAGAATCGCTTAAACCCTAGAGTTTGAGGTTGCTGTGAGCTGTGATGCCACCTCACTCTGCCAAGGGTGACTTATTAAGACTCTGTCTCAAAAAAAAAAAAAAAATGTTCTTTAGGAAAGCAGAGGCAACAGTGAGAAGAGCTGGATAACTGGCTATTTCCTTCCCCTGTATGTCCTGAGGCTATCCCAGGATCACAGTTTCCCCATTGGGCTGTCTTGATCAAGATTTTCTTGACTGCAGAAAATAAACCCCCCCTACAAAACACTCAGAACTAAACGATGCTTGAGGTTAAGGGATCAAGGGAGTCTTATGAAGCTCAAGGGCAAGAAGCATAGCTGGGCCTCAGATGGATAGGAACCAGGACCTGGGATGCCATCAGGCTCCCAGGCAGCTGCGTTCTCCATTAATATTTTGGGCCAGATTGTTTTCAGTATTTATTTATTTTTGAGATAGAGTCTCACTCTATCACCCTGGGTAGAGTGGTGTGGCATCATAGCTCATACAACCTCAAACTTTTGGGTTCAAGTGATCCTCTTGCCTCAATTTTTCATTTTTAGTAGAGATGGGGGTCTTGCTTATGCTCAAGCTGGTCTTGAACTCTTGAATTTAAGCAATCCACCCACCTCCGCTTTCTAGAGTGCTAGGATTACAGGCGTGAGCCACCATGCCTGGCTGTTTCCAGTTTTTCCACTATTCTTTGCCCATGGTTGGTTTTTTTGGGGGGTTTGGGGGTTTTTTTTGAGACACAGCCTCAAGCTGTTGCCCTGAGTAGAGTGCTGTGACATCATAGCTCACAGCAACCTCCAACTCCTGAGCTCAAGCGATTCTCCTACCTCCGCCTCCCAAGTAGCTGGGACTACAGGTGCCCGCCACAACACCGGGCTATTTTTTGGTTGTATCTGTCATTGATGTTTGGTGGGCCCGGGCTGAATTCGAACCCGCTGGCTCAGGTGTATGTGGCTGGCGCCTTAGCCGCTTGGCCACAGGCGCTTTGCCCATGGTTGGTTTTTTCTAAGCAGCTTGACCTGTTCTACTTCCCCTTACAGATGGTTAGGCCACAGTGTCTGGGAGTATGAGTCCTTTCTCAAAGTGACAACCTAGCAGTGAAGGGTGATAAATCTCAGCCTCAAATTTCTAGGACAGGGCTCGGCGCCTGTGGCTCAACCGGCTAAGG